AATTGCAAAGATCGAATCAAATAATTTCGAAGCAAATAATGTATTAAAGGAAAGGAAAATTGAAGAAGAAGATGAAAGTTTTTCGAAGTCTTCATTTAAGAACGAAGATATAGAGAATAATGCTAAAATCTTAGGCTTGGCATGGGACAAAACGTCCGACAGAATTAGGTTTGATTTCTCAAAAATCTTTTCAAATGATTGCCAATTCGTAACGAAACGTGAAATTCTGAGTTCAACGGCTAAGATATATGACCCACTTGGTTTACTTTCGCCAATTGTGGTTCCTTTAAAGTTACTCTTTCAAGAACTTTGCAAGAAAAAGGTAAATTGGGACACAAAACTTTCTGAGGAGATCAGTACTGAGTGGAGAACTATTGTTTCGGACATTCAAAGTTCTCCTCCTGTCTTTGTAAATCGATCAGTAACTGATGTTAACAAGGATGAAATTGACCATGTTGAGCTACATGGGTTTAGTGACGCCAGTAGCATTGCTTTTGGGGCTGCAGTTTATATACGTGTTGTCAAGAAATCTGGCAAAATATCTGTTGATTTGGTGGCTGCAAAAACAAGGCTTGTGCCCTTAAAATCTGACACAATACCACGTTTGGAATTGATGGCAGCACTCGTACTATCGCGGCTAATTAAATCTGTGAAAGAAGCCTTGAAGCCGGTGATAGAAGTTGATAAAATATTTTGTTGGGTAGATTCCCAAATTGTTTTGTGGTGGATTTTCAGTCGCGAAAAGGAATATAAACCTTTCGTTCAAAACCGAGTTTTAGAAATTAGAAAACATGTTCCTCCTTCATGCTGGAACTTTTGTCCAACTGATCTTAATCCTGCAGACCTAGCCTCTAGAGGCTGTAAAATGTCACAGATCTCAGGCTCTGAAATTTGGTGGTTTGGACCCACCTTTTTGGCAAAATCAGAAAACTATTGGCCTGCCGTTTTGAACTTTGAAACAAAAACTAAAATTCCGGAGGACGTTTCGTTTGAACTAAATCGTGAAACTAAATCTAATCCTCGGAAGGATTTTAGTGACGTATTTGTGGGAGTGTCCACAGCATCGAATTATGCGCTTGAAAATGTCATTAAAGCAGAAGACTTCAGTGACGAAAATCGACTATTTCGCGTCTCTGCTTACGTTTTTCGTTTCGTGGAAAATTTGAAACGGCGTTTATTAAAGGAAGATATAGAAACGAATGATCTAACAGTGGAAGAAGTGGAAAATGCGCGAATATCATGGCTCCGCGTGATCCAATCTCATTTATCTTCGGAGCGAAACTTTGATAAAAATTTAGTCTATTTGCGCGTCTATGAGGATGAAAATGGTTTACTACGATGTAGAGGTAGAATTCAAGAAGCTAACTTGTCAACTCAATCTAAATTTCCGATACTGTTACCCCGAAATCATTATATTACGAAGTTACTTGTAATGCGAGCGCATGAAAACGTGAAACATAACGGAACTGCCGAAACTTTGACCGATCTGCGTAGTTCATTTTGGATTATACGTGGCAGACAACTTGTAAGAAATCTTATTTCAAAATGTACCATTTGTAATCGTTTCGAAGGACGTGCTTATAACTCTCCACCGGCCGCTCCTTTACCGAGTTATCGCGTGACTGAAGACTCTGCATTCTCAAATATCGGAGTTGACTTCGCTGGACCCGTTTATATAAAAAACATATACGGTTGTGAAAAGGGAATGAACAAGGCCTATATAGCGTTATTTACATGTACTGTTTCACGAGCGTTGCACCTTGAATTGTGTACTGATTTATCTGCACCAGCATTTTTACGCTGTTTTAAACGCTTCCAAGGGAGACGAGGCGTTCCGAAACTTGTTGTGTCCGATAATGGCAGCACATTTCGCGACAAAACTGTTCAACGACATGCATTAGCAAGAAAAATAAAGTGGAAATTTAATGTTCCCGCGCGAGTTTTTGGGGCGGATTCTTTGAAGTAATGGTGAGACTGGTAAAACGTTGTTTACGGAAAATTGTCGGAAATGCTCGCTTAAACTACGAAGAACTAGAGACAATTTTGATAGAAATCGAAAGTGTTGTCAATTCACGTCCTTTGACGTACGTCAGCGGTGATTTCGCTGGAGAACCATTAACTCCGTCGTCCCTCGTTATAGGGCGAAGACTTATCGATACTCCGAATGTTGAAACGTATGCTGAATATGATTCGTCAAAAACAAAACTGACACACCGCCAATCGCATCTTAAATCGTTATTGAAGCATTTTTGGAATCGTTGGTCAAGCGAGTACTTGCTAACTTTGCGAGAATTCCACAAAAACAAGGGAAAAACCGGAGCGAGAATCGTAGCTGTTGGCGATGTTGTTGTTATTTTGAACGACAAAGTTAAACGACAACAATGGAAACTTGGGAAAATTTTAAAGGTTTATCCTGGAAAAGATAATATTGTTCGCGCAGCTGATGTAAAAACGACAGATTCAGCTGGAAGATCTATTATTTTGAAAAGATCAATTACTCATTTATATCCACTGGAAGTACGAGAGGATTCGGAAAAAGATTACGGTATCGCTGCTGCTGCGGAGCCTGCAGTGTCTGATGTGTTTGATGTACCGATTCGATTTATTGCGGATGAAGAAGCTGAAGAGCTGATAAATTAAACACTTTGGTTAAATATATGATTGACCTCCCTCAATCAGGGGGGAGGATGATTTGAATACGAGGCTAACCTCGAGCTTGACTTACTAACTACATTTATAAACGATAACGTTGTTGAATCTCTTGCATGATTTTGTGCTTTTAGTTTTTAGCTGAAGTAACGAGGCGTATTTCTAAACTATTGTTTTAATTTGTGTAGTTAATTAGGTTACTTTGCGTATCGTGATATTAGGTTTAATCTCATTAGGAACGCTTTTATGTGAATTAGCGTTTAGATATTGAGAGGTTTTTTTGAATTGAACGTCGTTATGTTAGGACGTATTTTGGACATGAACGAAGGATTTTGATGTTCATGATTGCGCTTATAAATAAAGATGTATCGGAATGATGCAAATAAATATTATCCTGGTATTTCATAATAGTTTGAATTTCAGTCTGAACCTTTACACATCAATACCGTCGGCACTTGCTGGATGTCACCCCGTTTACATGTTGTTTGAAGGACATAAATAATGGACGAGAAAACTGCACTGGTTGGTTTATGGTTTTCTCAATGGCTTTTCTTCGGCAATTTTACTATCATAGTGGCATTATATCCTGTCGCTTCCGTGATAGCTGTGAGGTTGTTTCATGGTGCTCCCTCGCATGACCCACAATACCATGGTGCTCCTCTCGGTTGAAATTCCTGTTGCTGCTTGGAATTCATGCGAAACGTGCAGAGATGCTTGATTTGGATCATGTTTTGGACCGTTTCAAGGAAATTTACCCTAACAGCAGAATCATGCTTTCATAAATAAAGTCTTTAATGAATTTTTTTCTTAAGGTATTCTCTCTTTGTTTTAAGACATTATTATTGCCAATGAAAACATTTGGATCATGAGCACATTTTGCGTAATAAATTTTTAAAAAGCACTTGTCCTTTTTCATCAACTTTTTTTCAATAGCATTGTTCACCGCAAAGCTTGCGACAAACAAATAGTTTAAAGAGAACCATCGATTAACTAATTATTCACATTAAACTTTCTAAAGTTTATGCTTTTTTTCTTTTTTCTATGTGAATTAGATAGGAAGAAATATTCAACAATAGGCAATCTTTGCGCATTGAGTTTCTTACAAGGCACAAATTGCCGAGAAAATCTTGCTGTACAAGGACTCCGACACAGGATGGGAAGTGGGGGGAGGAGGGCGCAAGGAAACATTTTGCACCCACAACAAAAGATTTTGGAAAAATGCTCTATTGCTTTGTAAAAAAATGGGGGCCATGACCCCTCGGTGCCAATTCGTTGGAGGCCCTGCTATATGGGGCACATCGCTTTTAAAGATGTTCTATCCAATTTTTTCTGTCGGCAATTTGATACATCCAGCGTCGGCAGTTTGTCTCTAGCGCCACCCCTGATTACAAACGCAGAGCTTTATTACTTGATCTCTTGGATCAAGTTTATAAAAATCAAGTACAGGCCTCAGCTCATCATTACACACGCTTTCGTTCTGTCAAAATTTGAAAAGAAATCGCTTCAGTTCTGTTGTGAGTGCAGATCGCCATTTCTACACAACAAACAACTACAACACGCTTCTTCCGCCTGCCTAAATGAAAATT